TATGTAAATCCAATACCTAAAAAAAAAAAAAGAAAAAATTAGGAGAATGTATAAAAATTTTGTAAATTTTTCTTACGAAGGAATAAAAAATAGTAAAATAATAAATATCATACTTGAAGGCTTCTTGGTAATTTATCAAGCGTTATTTTAGATATATTGTTATTGGAGAGGATAAAACTCGTAAAGTTCATAGGTTCTAAAGATTTAGTTGATGGTATCTCCGTCAAAGAATTTCCTGTGAAATTTATTATAAAAGAATAATTTCTCTGTATGTTAACTTTGCTCTCATCGAATAAAAATTGAGACATGTTTTTATACGAGCAATCTAAAATACGAGTCTGGTCTGACGGTCTTACACTACAAGTACAACCATCTTGACATCGTTTTGTAGTGTTAAAGTAGTCGTGCTCGGAACATAAATAAGTGCTTGAATTCAGATTTCTTATTTCTATCCCGTTCGATCCATCACGTTGTATACACGTTAAATTTCCCAATACAATATTAAAGTAATGGTAAACTGGATTGAGCATCTTTCTTTCATTATAACGCAAAAGATCATACAAGCTACAGTCACATGAGATAGGATTATGATCCATGTAAATGATAATGTCACTGTTCTTAATGCTTCGACGTTCCATATTCTCAATCTGATCTAAAGGAAAATTAGTTATATTATTATACCTCAGATCGATTGAAATTTGACGCGGTGGAAATAGGAATGAAGACGCCTAAAAAAAAAAAATAAAGTAAAACTAAATGCAGACGATTATTAAAGCCTATGTAATTATTTTTTTTCTACTTCGTGATCTTACCGAAACTTTTGTAATAAAGTTGTGACTCAGATCCAAAATAATTAAATCTTCGTTGTCAATTGACCAATCTTCAAAAAAGAGGTTAATGCTGCAGTTTGATAAATGCAATTCTTTGAGATATCGATTGCTATAAAATACTGACAATCCTTTTCTTATACCAGTCAATCTTAGCGGATTATGAGAAAACCTAGCAATTCTTAGATTTATAAGGTTGATAAAAGCATAACTATCAATATGTTTTAACTGATTTCTTTCCATATTTAATTTTTCCAAAGAAAACAAGCCGTAAAAAAGATCTCTAAAACATATTTATTTTTGAAAGAAAAAAATATAACAAAAATATATTTTTCATAAATTGGTAATTAATTTACCTTGATATACCATCAATTAAATTGTTTGACAAATCAAGTGCCTTTAAATTTTTCATATCTCCAAAAATTTTATCAGGAAGTGTTTCAAGTTTGTTGTTTTTTATTGACAGAAATGCAACATTTTCTAGTCCACGGAAAATATTCTTTGGTAAAATATCAAAAGAATTATCGTCTAAATAGATATACTCTAATGATATTGAACCCCAAAAAAGATTTTCAGGTAAAATTGTAAATCCATTATTGTTCAAATAAATTTGATGAAGCTTTGTAAAATTCGTTAAAAGATTATCTGGCAAGGTGTTTAATTTTTCGAAATTATTATGTAGATATAGTTCTTTTAATTCTTTATTTTCATCGAATAGTTTTGGTGGAATAAAAGA